TCAGCCTCTCTGCTCCTATGATGCTGCTTGGCCTGCTGTGTTCATCCAGCCCTGCACCTTGTTGTAAGGTTTTGGAGTAGATTTGTCAGCCATGATTGAATGGCGGAGCAGACTCGATGGGCCGAATGGCCTAATTTCTGCTCCTATTTCTTATGGTCTTATAATGATGGAAAATCTTCAGTCCAGATTTCAAATTCAATGGGACACAGGAGCCCTGATATTTGGAACTTGTATCGGGTTTTCAAGTTACTTCACTGAGCGAGAGCAGTTTTAACTGGTTTTGTTTTTATGTTTGACTTTCACGTCTGAGCGAGAGCTGAGTCCTGTTACAAGTTTCTTCAACGACTCTATTCAAATCTATGAAAATCCATACCAACCTCAGTCCAGAGGTTGTTGCTACAAAACAAACAAAACCATTCCAAAAGTTTTCCCAATCTGTTTGTCCAGCATTTAAGAGCCAGAAAATTACTTGAAAGCTTTTATTGGATTCATTCTCAAAATATTACTTTTTTTCTTGTAAGTAATAGATAATCAACTGTTCTGTTTTGACGTTTTGACTTTAGTTTATAAAAAATCACTCGATAGAGCTTCTTCAACTCAGAAAAGTTAAAAGGGTTCCATTTTCCAGTTTCACATATTCTATCAATAAAAACTAAATCCTTAACACTGTTGAGTTTGTAGACTGATGCATTAGTTTGAATTTTATAGGATTTCCCAATTTGTGGAAAGGTTCCATCAGATTGGAAGATAGTGAATGTGACTTCTCTAATCAACAAAGGAGGAAGTTAGAAAATGGTACTACAGACCAATAAGCTTAACATTTGTCATAGGAAACAGTAATCTGTTTAAAAGGTTATAATGGAGCACTAAAAAGCTTGCAATCAGGCAGAGTCAGCATGTTTTTATGGAAGGGAAATTATGTTAACTAATTTATTGGAGCCCTTTAAGGATGTAACAGACATCATGGACAAAGGGGAACCTGTAGATGTGTTGTACTTGATTTTCGGAGGGCATTTGACAGAATGCCACAAAATATTACTGCCTTTTTAACAATTCAGTGTGGGAGGGAAGAGTGGAATTTTAACAGGTTAGCATGAATAAGAGAATTGGATGTTCAACAGAAAGCAGAGAATAGGCATAAATGGATTATTTGCAGTTGGCAAGATGTGATTGAGTGTTAAAGGCCAGTTTGGGTCCTCCATTATTTACAATTTATCTCAATGACTTGGATGAAAGGACCAAAATGTATGGTAGCTAAGTTTGCTGAAATCACAAAGTAGACAATAACACATAAAAACAGAAATTGCTGAGGAGAGAAAACAGTTTTTGTTTCAAGTCCTTGACAATGGTGAGCAATGGTCAACTTTTTTTAGAAAATAACTCAGGACTCAGATATCCCATTGAGGAAGAAGGGCTCTAGGAAGGGTATAAGCCAACATGGTTAACCAGGGAAGTTGAGGGAAGTATCAAATTGAAGGAACAAACATAAAATGTGGCAAAGACTAGTAGTAAATCAGAGGATTGGGGAAGTTTTCAAAACCAACAAAAGATGCCACCCCAAAAGATGTGGCACAGTGGTTAACACTGCTGTCTTATAGTGCCAAGGACGTGGGTCTGGGTGGGATGCTGTTTGGAGGGTTGGTGCAGACTCAGTAGGCTGAATGGCTTCTTTATTTGCTACAGGGAATCTATGATCATAAAAATAAGGGAGAAAATAAACTGTGAAGGTAAACTAGCAAGAAACCTAAAAATAGACAGCACTTCTTCTGCTACGTACAAAGGAAAAGAGAGGCATCAGTGAACATTGTGCTCTTAGAGCGTGAAGCTGGCGAAATGATGGGGAAAGCCAGGAAATGGCAGAGGAGTTGAACTAATACTTTGCATCCATTTTCACAGCGGGGGATACTTATGGCATTCCAAACACACCAAATAACATAGTGATGAAAGAAGGGGAGGTAGTAAATGTGCTATCATTAGAGGAAAAGTGATAGAGAAATTAATAGGGCTAAAGGCTGGTAGGTCCTCTGAATCTAATGGGTTACATCCTAGTATTTTAAAGGAAGTAGTACAGAGAAGGTGGATGCTCTAGTCATGATCTTCCATGAATCCTTAGATTCTGGAAACATTTCAGAGGATTATAAAACTGCCAATTTAATGCCATTATTCAAAAGTGAAGAAGACAAAAACAGATAAACTCAAGCTTCATGTCTATTGTTAAGAAAATTGAGCTATTATAAAGGATATAATTACAAAGCATTTAGAAATGCATAGCTTAGAAATGTAGAGTTAACATGGCTTCCTGAAGAGGAAATCTTGCCTGACAAATAATTGCAGTTCTTTGAGGAGGTAGCAAGCAGAGTAGATAAAGAGAACCAGTATATATTTGGACTTCCAAAATCATTCAATAAGGTACTGCACATCAGACTACTGAATAAGATAAGGTCCCATTGTGTTGGGGTAATATATTAACGTGGATAGAGGTTTAGCTAACTAATAGAAGGCAGAGTTGAGACAAAAGGATCATTCTCCGATTGGTAACCTATACCTAACTGAGTGCCGCAGGGATTATGCTAGGGCCACAACTATTTCAATTTTTTTTAGGACTTGGATGGCAGAAGTGAATGTACTACCGTAGCCAAATTTGCAGATAATAAAAAAATAGGTGGGAAGGCAAGGAAAGAATGAAACAAGGAGCCAACAGGAGGATATAGACAAGTTATGTGAGTGGGCAAAAACCTGATGTATGGAATATAATGCGGGAAAATGTCAGGTTATGCACTAGACATAAGAAAAAATGTGCTGAATGTTATTTAAATTGGCAAAGACTGTAGAATGCTACAGACCAGAGGGATTTGGGGGGCTTTATCATGAATCAAAATAAGCTAGCATCCAAGTTCAAGGGATAATAAGGAAAGCAAATGGACTGTTGGCCTTCATTTCAAAGGGAATGGACTATAATCATAGTGAAGTTTTGCTAAAACAATACAAAAGACTAGTCAGACCACAGCTAGAATACTGTGAACAATTTTGGTCCCCTTATAGGAAGGATGTCATTAAACTGGAAAGAGTTCAGAAAACATTTACAAGGATGTTACTGAGACTGGAGGGTTTGAGTTATGAGGAGAGACTGGGACTTTTTTCCCTGAAATAAAGGAGGTTGAGGAATGTCCTTCTGAGGTTTATAAAATCATGAGAGGCATAGATAAAGTGAATAGCCAAGGTCTTTTCCCCAGGTTAGGGGAGTCCAAAACTAGACAGCATAGGTTTAAAGTGAGAGGGGAACGATTTAAAAGGGACCTGAGAGGCAAGTATTTTACACGTAGGGTGGGCCGTATATGGAACAGACTGCCAGAAGCAGTCGTAGAGGCAGGTACGATTACAACATTTAAAAGACATTAGGACGGGTACATGAATAGGAAAGGTTTAGATGTATATGGGCGTAATGCAAGCAAATGGAATGAGTTTAGTTTGAGAAATCTGGTTGGCACAGATGAGTTGGACCAAAGGGTTGGTTTCCTAGCTGTCTGAGTCTGTGAATGATATTTTGGCATTGGAGCATGTCAAGAGAAGGTTCACTGGTCTCATGCCAGTTATGGAATGTATTTCTTATGAGAGGTTGAGTAAGTTGCGTTTGTACACATTGGAGTTTAGGAAAATGAAAGGAGCCCTTATTGAAATATTTAAAATTCTTGGGGCTTGACAGGGTAGATGCAGAGTGGTTGTTTCCTTTGTAGGAGAGCCTAGAACCAGAGGGCATAATCTCAGAGTAAGGAGCCACTAATTTAAGACAGATGGTGAATCTGTGGAATTCCTTGTCACAGGGCTGTTAAGGCTGGGTCTTTAAGCATTCAAGGCTAAAAAGGATGGAATTTTTAATCGGTAAGGTAATTGAGGATTAAGGGGAGAAGGAAGGAAAATGGAGTTCAGGATTGTTAAATTAGCCATGATGTCATTGAAAGGCCATTTGGACTTGATCAACCAAATAGCCTATTTCTGCTCTTGTGTTTTATGGCCTCCACTCCTGCTACCACCATACACCATCTGATCCCGCCCTCTGTCTTCCTTTAACTTTCTCTGCCTCTGTCTCCACCTCTGGCACAGCCCATCTCCACCCTCGTCTCCCTCGACTCTCCCTCTGCCCATGCTCCCTACCCCTCTAGGCCTGTCTAACTCAATTTTAGCTGTTTACCCCCTTGCCCCTCTCCACAGTCCTCATGCCCCTCATCCCTCTACCTTCTGTTTTCCCCTCTACCCCTCTCATTCCCTGAACTGTTACTATTTTAAACAAAACTCTTAAACATTTAACCACTGAACTGACTGGTTGTTTTATATGCCAACAGTAACGCTAAACTGTTTGTAGGGTAGGCCGGAAACGTCAGCCTTTCTGCTCCTATGATGCTGCTTGGCCTGCTGTGTTCATCCAGCCCAGCATCTTGTTGTCTAGGGTTTATTATACTTTGTGAGGGTATCTCATACTCTCCTGTTTTGACGTTTGGTGACAGTGTCCTGAAGATCCACACTCTAGCAGTGCTGAACATTTCAATTGCACAATTTTTCTTTCAGGGAGATCTGAAACAGTTCCTGCGTATTGCAAAAGGCAAAGAAGAAAAGATTAAATCTCAACCATTAAATACAAAACAGAAGGTAAGGAACTAAGAATTCTTCTATATTTTTAAATCATCTGAAGTATCATTTGAAAAATCAGTTTATTGTTTTGGGAATGGAGCCATTTGGAGAGAGCTACATTTCCATATATAGTCACAACATATACATATATAGGATCCTGAAGCCAGACGGATAAGCGCTCTAGAGACACCACTAAGTCTGTGTTGTACTGTGATCTTACAAAGTTTGGAAGGAAACCATGATAGTGTCACTTTTTGTACTTACTGAAATCCTGATGTAACTTCTTCAGAATGTGATATGCATTGATGAATAATCTAGTGATTGTTGAGCTCAGAAATTTTTTCATCCCTCTCCCCTTGACTTTTGATAATATATGGTTCCCTTCAGCCCTCTGGGATCTTGCTCAGCTGCTTATTTTTCACACAGCATCCAAGATTGCAGGCTTTAGTCACCGATTGATTATGGAAATGGCTACTGCTAAGCTCAATTCCATGCTCACTTGACACCACTACACAGTTGCCCTTCCAGCATGTTGAAGGACAGCAATTGGAAGTAGGAATCTGTGCTGATTCCTCTGCCCAGACCACTTAAACTGCCTCAACACAGATCTTAGAATTGAATGCAAAATCCTCTAGTCTGTAACAAAGCACTTGACAGGAACATTATAACACAAAGTATGACATTGCAACACAAGATTTTAGGGAGTTTTCAAGTAATTCCAGACCTCTTATTGCTTAGACAGCTGAAAGCATGGCAGCCAATGATGGAGCAATTTAAATCAAATTGATTGAGGCAAAAAATAGAAGAGCACAGGATTCTGAGGGTTGTGGAACTCAAGGAGGTTAACAGAGGTGGAGAGTGTTGGGACTGTGGTGGGATTTTAGGAATGAAAATTTTAAAATCCAGATATTTCTTGACTGGTCAGTGCATGAAGGTCAGTAATCACACACGTGATAGAGAAACAAGACTTGCTGTGAGCTAAGCCACAAGAGGTTTGGATAATTTCAAGCTTTTGGAGGGGAGATAATGTATTGGAATTGTCAAGTTAGGTAAGAAAAAGGAAATGTGCTGAGATGTTACATAGGTGATCTTAGTAATAGTATGAATATGTACAATACCTGACAAAGTTGCTGACAATATTCCGAGAGTAACCATGGTGTATTGATCTCTTCTTGATTCCCTTTGATGTGTAAACTTTTTGACACAGTTGACTGCAACCTTGCTCAATCATCCCTACCTCTGATCCAGTTCAATGACACTACGGTCACTTGTACTTCACCTATCCAACTGTAGCAAAGCATGTGTAGCAATGATTTTCTTTTTCTCCCCTACACAACTGCTCCAGAAAAATCTAAGCATCAGTGCTTTCTCTTCCTATATCTGCTCCTTTGCACTTCTGTGAAACCCACCCATTAGTACTTCTACCCGTGTCCGTTTGCTACTGAAATCCTAATTCATACTCTTGTCACTACAAGGTTTGACTTTTCCAGTGCTTTCCTATTTTTCACACTCCACAGTCCAGAAATTTCAAGTAATCTAGAACTCAGTCGCCTTCATCCAATTCCACACCAATTCCCACATCCCCATTGCCTATCACTGTTGTCATATGTTGGCTCCCAATGCCTCAGACTTAAAATGTTCATCATGTTTCAGTTCATTTATAGTCTCTCACTTCCCTCTCTCTCTAGAACTGTTCCTTGAACCACACTGCCTCCCTCATTTTATTGTTTTTCTGACCCAGTGTTTTATAAGCCCTGTCTCCAACCCTACCTCTGTCATTACCTTTGCCTATCAAGGTTAGCTGTACCTGCTTGGTTTAATTTCTAGTTCTGGAATTCTTTTCTGGAACTACTCCATCCCTGTCCTCCTTCCATCTTTCTTTGACTAAACTTTTAATTTGAGTAATTTTAATTTTAGTACCACCTCCTTGTAGTTTAAGGTTTTTCTTTTTGTAGGGCTCACTTGTGGATCAAAAAGAGGATTTACTCATGGACGCAGAGCTTGTTTGAAAGTATGAAAAGAATACTTTGCATTGGTCTTCACCAAGAAACACTGCCCAGATCATGGTGAAAGGGGGTTAATTATAAGATACTTGAAACACTTCACTTAAAATTGAGAAGGATGTGGTTTTAGATAGACTTACTGTCCTTGGTAAGTCAACAGAGCAGATGAGCTGCATCAAAGGATATTGAAGCAAGTAGGGGTGAAGAACTTGCCATAATTTTCAATCTTGCTTAGATTCAAGGGCTGTGCCAGAATACTGAAGATTTGCAGTAATTACACCCTTATTCAAAGAAGGATGTAAAGATAAGCCTAGCAAATAAGATTGTCAGTTTAACTTCACGAATGGAGATGCTTTAAAAAAATCATTTTGGGACAAAATTAATAGTCATTCGGACAAATGCAGGTTAATCGAGAAAGGGCAGCATGCAGGCCGTTCAAAACTAAATGGCATAGGTTTAAGGTGAGGAGGAAATATTTAAAAGAGATCTGAGGGGCAACATTTTTCACACAGAGGGTGGTGTATATATGAAACAAGCTGCCAGAGGAAGTGATAGAGGCGGGTACGATTACAACAGCTACATAAGTAAGAGAGGTTTAGAAATCTATGGGCCAAATGCAGGCAAATGGGACTTGTTTAGTTCGGGAAACTGGTCAGCATAGTCAAGTTGGACCGAATGGTCTGTTTCCATGCTGTATGACACTGAGAAGTCAATCTGACTAACTTGCCAGAGATTTTTTTTTAAAGGATTTAAGATAGAGGATTGATGTGGTGTATACGAAACATTCTTCCTTCTAAGCTGTGTGACCATGTGATGCTCTATATATGCCAATTGGTGTACTTTTGAATGGTTTCCGCTACTGGAATGTAATGTGTGCAGAGCTCAGATATCCACACAGCAGCAAAACAAATTAGAGGGAATGTTGAAATGGACTTCCAGAGAGTATTTGATACAGTCCCACACAATCGACCCATGAATGAAGTTTTAGCTCATGGAAATAAAGGTACAGTACCAATACGCAACTAGCTGAGCAAATAATGAAAAGTAATGGCTAATGGATGTTTTTGGGACTGGAGGAAAATTTGTAGTGGAGCTCCCTAGAGGTCAGTGTTGGGACCATTGCATTTCCTGATATATATCCATGACCTAGAACTTGGCATACGTTACATAGATGATACAAACCTTGGAAGTATTGTGAACTGGGAGGAGGATCGTGTGAAGCTTCAAAAGGACACGGACATGTTTGTAGAATGGGCAAACAACTGGCAGATAAAATTTTAATGCAGATAATTGTAAAGTGATACATTTTGGTTGGAACAATGCAGAGAGGCATTATGAAATATTGGGCATAATTCTAAAGGGAGTAGAGGAACCTGGGAGTTTATGTATTGAAATCGTTGAAGGTGGCAGGACAGATTGAAAAAGTGGTTAATAAAACTTTCGGGATTGGATTTATAAATAGGGACATAGAGTACAAAGACTAAGAAATTAAGATAAACCTTTACAGACCACTGGCTTTACCTCAACCGGAGTATTGCCAGTATCTCCAATTCTGGAGACCACACTTAAGAAAGGATATGAAGGCATTACAGAGAATTCGGGGGGAAAAAATAATTCATGAGAAGGGGTCTAGGGATGGAAACTTTAGTTACACAGATTGGAGAAATTGGTATTGTTCTTCGAGAAGAAAAAATTCAGTGGCATTTGATAGAGGTATTCAAAATTGAGGAGCTCGGAGTGAGTATTTAGGAAGATGCTATTCCCATTGTTGGAAGGATTGAGAAGAAGAGGACAAAGGTATAAGGTGATTGTTAATTTTGCCAAAAATGATATGAAGGTTTTTTTGTGCAGCAAGTAATTAGGATCAGGAATGCACTGCCTATGAGTGAAGTAGAGGCAGGTTCAATCATGATTTTCAAGTGCGATTTAGATAATTACCCGAAAAGAAAATCAGGATTATGGGAAAAGATGGGCTGGATGACCTGTGCTGTAACTGCTTTGTGATTCCATGATTTTCTTTCCTAGGTGGGTATTTGCACACAGGTAGCCCTGGGAATGGAATACCTGTCAAACCATCGCTTTGTACATAAGGACTTGGCTGCTCGGAATTGCTTGATCAGTGCCCAAAGACAGGTCAAAGTGGCAGCACTTGGGCTGCGCAAGGATGTCTATAACAGGTGGGTTAAATAGCTTGTCCCAGTGATGGATTCACACTTTTGTTCATCGCTGTGACAACACTTTCAATGAGATTATCCTTCCACAAATATTAATGTCAAGAATTACAAAATTCCCATAACTCACCTAGAGTGCACCTTTTTTTTTTTTTTACAACCATGTTCACGGGATATGGCATTGCTCATATTTATTTATTGATATCCCTAATTGCTCAGAGGGTAGTTAAGAGCCAACCTCGTTGCTGTGGGTCTGGAATCACATGTAGGCCAAACCAGATAAAGGTGGCAGAGTTTCTTCCCTGAAGGACTGTTAATTCCAGGTTTTTAATTGAATTCCAAGTCCATCATCTGGCATGGGTGGGATTCGAACCTGGAACCCCAGATCTCTACTAGGCTCTCTGAATTAATAATGTAGCACGAATACCACTAGGCAATTTGCCTCCCTTCATTACATGAAAAGTAATTAAATGTAGGGTCATTTAGACTGTCCAATGTTACAGATATAAGCCAATTGATTGCTGAGATCCCTAAACTTGATTAAATTGCTTCTGTTTCTTATTGCAACCGAAAAGGCACTCATCCATACCCTGGAAATAAATCAAATGTAAAAATTTGGAACAAGAGGTCCATCCCTAATTGCTTCAAGAATGTAGTAGGTCATCTTAAACTTCTGCAGTTCTGTGATAGTGACCATGCTCTCTCAATGGAATTCCAGAAAATTGATCAGCACTTTTGATTCCCTTACTTGAGAAGAGATGTAGTTGTATTGAAGGCAGTTCAGAGGTGATTCACTAGATTGAATTTGGAGATGAGGGTCTTACCTTTTGAAGAGAGATTAAGCAGTTTAGGCATTTACTCTTTGGAGTTTAGAAGAAGGAGAGGATCTGTAATTGAGGTATATAAGATAATAAAGGCAATTGACAAAGTAAGCATAGAAAGTTTCCTCATGTGGGGCAACCTGGATGAAAGGTCATTGTTTTAGGTTAAGGGCTAACGTAAGAGATTTAAAACAGATGAAGAAACATCGCTTCTCTCAAAGAATCATAAATCTGTGAAATTCACTATCCAAGAGTGTGCTAGATGCCGGGACATTGAGTAAATTTAAGAAGAATATTTTATATTAATAACGGATTGAAGGGTTACGGAGACCAGGGCAAGAAAGTGGAGTTGAGGCCAATATGGGATGAGCCATGACTATGTTAAATGGCAGAGCAGGCTCAGAGCTGAATTGGCTACTTCCTGCTCCTAGTTCTTAGGTTCTTAGGTAGTATTGAAAGATTAGCAATATACGTCCATGTTAGATGGTTGGAAACTTGGAGGTGATGGTATTCCCACAATATTACTCGTGTAGCAGATGAAATGGCTTTCTCCACACTGCAAGAAATCTTATTGCTTCATCAGGGTGTCTCAAATTGCTTTGCAGTTAAAAGATTTTTTTTTTGCAACGTCAGTATCTGTTTTGTAGGCTTTGTAATTGTCTTGTGCAATGCAAAAGAAATGAATAACCAAATTAATTATATTTTTGTATTATATTGGTTGAGGGGAAGAATTTTGGCCATCATAAGGAGAACTCCCATTCCTCTTCCATTCCTTTTGTGAGATGTGTGCATCACTCGCAAGGCCCGCATTTGTTGCCCACGCTGAATTACTGTTGAACTAAGTGGCTTGCCACACCATTTCAGAAGATAAATAAGAATCAACCACATAGCTTTGGATCTAGAGTCTCATGTAGGCCAGATCGTGTAAGGATTTCAGGTTACCTTCCCTCAAGGACATTAGTGAACCGATTTTTTGGTTTTGTTTTTTTTCATAGTGACAGCTTCATGGTCTAGCTTTCAATTCCATGTTTTATTTATTAAATTTAAATTCCACTAACTGTCAAGGTGAAATTTGAAAATCTATATCCCCAGAGCTTTAACTTGGATCTATGGACTACTAGTGACATTTGCTATGCTGCCATCTGCCTAGAGCCATGGGATATTGTACATCGATCCAAACAGACAAATAAGTCATCATGTGCTGTATCACTTGACGAAACTTATGATAATGTAGAACTGAAGTTCAGCCTAGATTATGTGCTAAATTCCTGGAGGAGGACTTGAACCCACTACCTTCATGCTCAGAGGGGAGTACAACGACTGAAATAAACCGATGCACACTTTTCCAGGCACCCACAAAGAATTATTCTGAGACTTGTTCTGTGGCTGCAATGATTTCTGATAGTTGGGTAAAGGTAAAAACTTTTATCAACAAGTCAGTCGTATTTATAATGAAGTTGTATTGACAGTTGATTTTCAAGTGATAATATGTTAATATATTGTGCTGGGCGAAACTGATCATAATGTCACATCACTAATGGAAAACCACAGAAACCCTCTGTCAGCCCTTTTAGATGATGGCTATGTAATTAATTTAACAGGTTAACTTCCACCGAGGGAACCTTTTGATAGGAAATATGATGCTAGAAGTTGTGAATACATTTCCTGCAGCAGAATTACAATTCCATCTACTAATTTTTTGGCAAAGAGCATATTTCATATTAATTTGAAATAATGCTTGACTTTTTAAAACTACATATCCAAATGTAACTGTTTGTTAAAATTTCTGATACCTTCTTTACAAATAACTGTAAATAGAGCAGCTATATTCAGTGCAGCTAGCATGAGAACCATATTAGGATATACTGGTTAAGGAATATTGTGACTTCTGCTTGAGATAGAGGTTTTCAATCCATTTTAGGCTTCATTTGGGTGGACTGATTTTACAACTTGGACCTGTTGTGAGTTCAAAACTTTGATTTTTATATTTTTTTCCCTTGATGCATTGCTCATTTTGAATGTAGTGAATTTAGCTACATTTGGATGCCAGATGAAATGTTTTGTTAGAGAGATTGATATTGATGAGCTAAGCGGCCTTTTAAAAATCCCTAACTTGTATCATGCAAAACTATAGTCCAGTTTGCTGAACTTCTTTTGCTGGAGGAAAAGCATATTACTTAGAGTGTGGTTAGGATCTGGAATATAGTATTTTTAAAAATTTATTCACAGGATGTGCATGTTGCTGGCTAGCCCACTATTTATTGTCCATCCCTAGTTTCCTTCAAGAAGACTCTGATGTGTCCTTATGGTGTAGTTACACCTCCAGCATTCTGGTGTAGAGAATGATCATGATGTTAGGAAGGGAGTTCCAGGATTTTGACCCGGCGACCGTGAAAGAATGCCAACATAGGTCCTAGTCAGGCTGGTGAATTGCTTGGAGAACCCGTTCTTCTAGATAGAAGTTGTAGATTTGAAAGGTGCTGCCTAAGGAGCTTAAGTGAATTATTCCGATGCATCTTGTAAATGGTAGCTAAAATAACCACTATGATTCGGTGATGAATGTTAAAAGTGTGATCAAGTGCCAGGCAAGCTGGCCTTATTGTCCTAGATGCTTTCAAGCTTCTTGAATGCAGCTCTAATGACACTCACCCAAGCAAGTGGGAAGTATTCTGACTTGTGGCTTGTAGGTGGTAAACAGACTTTGGGAGTTAGGAGGCATGTTACTCAGGACATTGGTGAGGCCTCTTCATGAGTACTGTGTACAGTTCTGGTCACCCTGCTATAGGAAGGATATTATTGAGTTGGAGATGGCTTAGAAGAGATTTACGAGGATGTTGCCGGGAGTGGAAAGTTTGAGTTATAAAGGTAGGCTGGGACTTCTTTCACCGGAGCATAGGAAGTTGAGGGGTGACCTTATAGAGGTTTATAAAATCATGAGGGCCATAGATAAAGATGAATCTTTTCCTTAGAGGGGGTCAGTTCAAAACTAGGGGGCATATCTTTAAGGTGACAGAAGATTTCAAAAGGACACGGGCAAATTTTTTTACGCAGAGAGTGGTTCATGTGCAGAATGAACTGCCAGAGGAAGTGGTGCATGTAGGTACAGTTACGACATTTAAAAGACATTTGGATATGTACTTAAATAGGAAAGGTTTGGAGGGAAATGGGCCAAACGCAGGCAAATGGAATTAATTTGATTGGGGAATATGGTCATTCTAGACTAGTTGGACCAAAGGGTCTGATTCCATGCTCTGTGATTGTACGACCTGCAGTTATAGCCACTCAATTCAATGGCCAGTCTATTTCAGTTTTGGTCAATTGGAATCCTGCAAAATGTTGATAGTGGGAGGTTTGGTGATGGTAATGCCATTGAATGTCGAGGGACGATGATTAGATTCTCTTGTTGGAGGTGGTCATTACCTGGTACTTGTGTGGTGCAAATGTTACTTGCCATTTGTCAGCCCAAAACCTGGATATTGTCCAAGTCTTAGTGCATTTGGACATGGACTTCAGTTGATGTCAACAGTCCTATGCCACTGTTTGGGGGAAGAGCAGTGCTGCTATGGTTAATGTTCTTCCTTCATATAATTTTCCCAATTCTTTGTTACTTGTGCACATAACTAAATACAAAGTCCAACAAATGAAGTGCTTTGAGATTGACGGAAACTTTATAACAACAAGTTTAATTATCAAAAAATACTTGCTTTAATCTTCTACTTTTTATTCACTAGTGAGTATTACCATTTCCATCAAGCATGGATTCCACTCCGTTGGATGCCTGCTGAGGCCATATTTGAGGATGATTTCTCCACAAAATCAGACGTATGGTCCTTTGGCGTGCTGATGTGGGAGGTATTTTCCCAAGGGGAATTGCCTTTTTTCAAACTCGGTGATGACGAAGTATTGACAGGTATTGAAGTTGGTTTTATTATTCCTGTACTTCTGTAGATCTGAAACTGATACTAATTTAGAACATAAGAAACTGTTTTTATCCATATTGGCTATTCTGACTTGAGGCCTGTGTAAATTAATGATAACTTGAATTCAAGTTTCATGCGTATGTATAACATGATCTGTATTTGGCACTAAATATAGAAACCTGAAAATCTAAAGTTTGACTGGGCCAATTATAGCTGGTAGAGAGGAATTTTTTTTTTTAAATTCACGCATGGGATGAGGGCATCACTAGCTAGGCCAGTATTTATTGGTTATCCTGGATGGCCTGGGGGCAGTTCAGAGTCAACCGCATTGCTGTGGGTCTGGAGTCACATTGTAGGCCAGACCAGGTAAGAACGGCAGTCTCCTTCCCTAAAGCACTTAAGTGAACCAGATGGGCTTTTACTACAATCGATAATGGATTCATGGTCATCATTAGACACTTAATTCCGGATTTTTTATTGATTTCAAATTCCCCATCTGCCCTGGCAGGATTTGTACCCAGGTCTCCAGAACTTGGATCTCCGGATTAACAATCCATTGTTGCCTCCCCTACTCCCTTCTGAGTCCAAGCAGAAAATGAGGTGCTGTTCTTCCAGCATGCAGCTTCTCTGTAGCACTGTAGCAAACCTGAGGCAGAGATATTGGCCAGGGAACACAGTGGTGTGTTGAAGTGGCAGGTGACTGGAAGCTCAGGGTCATTTTTGTGGACAGAATGTAGGTGTTCTGCAAAATGATTGCCCAGTCTGCACTTTGTCTCCCCAATGTAGAGGAGACCACGTTGTGAGCAGCGAATACAGCAGATTAGATTGAGTGAAGTGCAGGTAAATCACTGCTTCATCTGAAAGGTGTGTTTGGGATCTTGGATAGTGAGGAGGGAGATAGTAAACAGGCAGGTTTTAAACCTTCTGTGATTGCAAGGAAAGGTGCCTTGGGAGTGGAAGAGGAGTGGACCAGGAGACGCAGAAGCAAAATCCTATCGGAAGGCTGACAAAGGAGGGGAGGGAAATAGTGTCTGGAAGTGGCAGAAATGGCAGCTCATGAATCTTTTGATGTGGATGTTAGTGGGTGGTGGATGAGGACGAGGGGGACCCTATTGCTGTTAATAGAACATAGAACAGTACAGCACAATACAGGCCCTTCAGTGCCGAACTTTTTCCCTAAACCTAAGGTCTATCTAACCTCCACCCCTACCTTATACTATCTTCCATATGCCTATCTAATAGCCGCTTTAATGCCGCTAATGAGGCCGACTCCACTACCCTCTCGGGCAATGCATTCCACGCCTCGACGACTCTCTGAGTAAAGAACCTACCTCTGACGTCTCCCCTATATCTACCTGCACTCACTTTAAAACTATACCCCCTCATAATAGCTACCTCCACCCTAGGAAAAAGTCTCTGGCTATCCACTCTATCTATACCTCTGATCATTTTGTACACCTCTATCGAGTCACCTCTCATCCTTTGTCGTTCTAAAGAGAAAAGCCCTAGCTCTCTCAACCTTTCCTCGTAAGACCTTCCCTCCATTCCAGGCAACATGCTGGTAAATCTCCTCTGCACCTTTTCCAATGCTTCCACATCTTTCCTGTAATGAGGCAATCAGAACTGGACACAATACTCTAGATGTGGCCGAACCAGGGTTTTGTATAGCTGGAGCATAACTTCACGGCTCTTGAACTTAAGCCCTCTATTAATGAAAACTGTTTTGGGAGGAAAAACGGGGTGACAGATTTGCTTCCTGAAAATCCATTAGTAAATCAGGTGTTTGTTTTTTGTAACAAGCGACTAGCTTTTTGATCAGGCTTTATTAATTGAGTCTAAATTCCACCACTTGTCATCGTGGAATTTGAGACCCTCTCCTCGGAGGTTTGCACGGGCCTCTTGCGCTGTAAATTTTTGGTTGAGAGTTTTCTACAACTCTGCTTTTATGTCTGTTATTTCTTGGTGACTCATGCTCGACACAGTATCCAACAAACTGTCTGACTGGAATGGCATGCTGTTTGATTATTCCTTCCCAACCTGTAGTCACTGATTGTTATTCAGTGTCTTCTTAAATTTATTTATCTGTACTAATTGAACATATTTAGTGTCAACCCATTACTGAAATTAAAACAAAAAAATATGCATGAAGTACTCATCAAGTCAGGCAGCATCTGTGGAGAGAAACAGTTAACACTTTAGGTCGATGGCCTCTTAACAGAAATGAAAGTAAACAGATATGTAAGAGTTATTAATTTGGCTGCATTTGTGACTAATGCAACCACTAGGTGGCTGACTGTACACACATGCATAAATTTGAAGTGTGCTTTTAAACATGCATCCAGCAGCAAAGCACCATTTATCAAACAAATCACCTATTACCAGGTGTGATGCAAAATAACTTCAATAAGGGAATCCAGTCAACATGAATAGCTATTAATTCCTGGTAAAATCTATAGACAAAAAATCCTTGTGTCACTCAGCATCATACTGGCTGACAGATGATGTAACAATGCCATGGAACACCAAACAGTGATATAACCTTAAATCAATAATCTTAATATTTGCAAATCTAAATACTAATACATCACTTTGGCTTTCTGTTCTTTATCAGTCAGCACGACTACTGTTACAATCAGCTGATGCTAATGCTAGATAAGTCAGATCCGAATGAAACCTACCTAATGTGTTTAATTTTTCAGATGGTTACCATGGTGGCTAGTTACTGAAGCGTATTCACACAAGGCTGTTGATGTTCTTTATCACCACAAGTGTATTACACAAAAGCAAAATGAAGCTGTATATAAAATATTTAGAAACGTCTTAACACAAGCAGCGAAACAAAGTTTCAACTGGTTTCCCAAAACAATCGTTTTACAAATACTCAACTCCAGAGAAATATTGCTCCTATCTCAATTCCCCAATTTCTTACTTAATCGACTCTTCCCAGTTTTTTTTCCTTGGACTGTTGAGACAATTTTATGATTCCTTTCTAGCCTACAGGCATGAACCTTCAACAGTTCTTATGGCATAAACTGTTTCAGTTCTGACAATATAAAAGCCTCCATGCAAGCTTTACTGCATTGGAAGTTCTACAGACTAAAGACACTTTGAACATCATGCCATTCTCTGCCTTTTTGCCATACCCTTACACATTGTTTCAACGTAAATAGTCATCTTATATCTTCTTGAATGTCTCAATTGAACTTGCCTCCACCACAATTCTAGGTAATGCATTCTAGACTCAAACAATCATTGTCTGAAAGGGTTTTTCTCACAACGTATTTGCTTCTTTAAATCAGTGCCATCTCCTTTCTAAGATAACAAGGTGTAGAGCTGGATGAACACAGCAGGCCAAGCAGCATCAGAGGAGCAGGAAAGCTGACGTTTCGGGTCGAGACCCTTCTTCAGAAATGGGGGAGGGGAAGGGGATTCTGAAATCTTTTTATGAGGAGAAACAGTTTATGTAAAGTATCCAGCCCCTTGTAATTTTGAAAATTCCTAGCAGATTTCCTTCTCAACTACTTCTCTCCATGTAGAAAATGTGTGTGGAAAAATACCCACTAATTATCTAATAATGGGCTTCCACCAAGTATTAAAAATGCTACATGCAACTGTGCAGATGGTCAAGGCAGGCATTTTTGAATAGTGCCACCCTATCCACTTGGAGACACACTCTGTGTTTAAACCAGTGGACATGGGCAGTGGGCAAGAATAAGAAAAAAGGGTGGAGCTGGGGGAGATTAAAAATCAAAAATTTGATTATGTAACAATGAAGGGAGTGATAATGGAAATAATAAAGAAGCAGAGGTTGTGTACAAGTAACGTATGAATTGCTACATAAGGAATACTACCCAAGTTCCACTAGGGACAAAGAAAGAAACATAACACAGTCTACCCTACCGAGCAAAACTAAAAACAGGAGAAGAGAAAACCACATGGAACAAGTTGGAGGCAGAAGTTGTGATGTTCAAGTTGTTGAATTTGATGTGGAGTCTGGAAGGCTGGTGAGTGCTGAATCTATAAAGATAGGACATTATTTCTCGAGCTTGCTTTGAGCTTCACCAGAAGATGCTAGCGGGCCAAAGACAGGTCAGCAAGGGAACAAGGTGGAAAATTAAAATAAGCAACTGGACACTGAACTTCTATCTAGTTTTAAATACCTGAAACTGCTTTGACAGGATGTGGGAAACTTTAATTCAGCACTTTTTTTGGAATAAAGCACTTCTGAAAATGCAGTGAATTATGAGCCACTAGACGATACTTTTTGCTGGTTTCTCCTTCAATACTTGCAGCAAGCTGGATAGAGTAGATTGGGAGAAGCTGTCACTCTTTAAAATAACTAGAACCAGAGGGCATAGATTTAAAGTAATGGGTAAAAGAAGCAAGGATGATGTGACAAATAAACTTTTTCACTCAGTGAGCAGTTAGGGCATAGAATGTACTGGCTGGGAAATGTGAGGGAGGCAGGTTCAATTGAGGCATTCAAAAAGGCATTGGATGATTATTTGGATAGAAATAATGCGTAAGAGTATGGGGAGAAAGCAATAGATTGGTACTAAGTAATGATCATCATTTGAGTAGCCATTGTGAGCATGATGGGACCGAATGGCGTCCTTCTGCACCAGAAGAATTCTGTGATCCCACTATCCTTTAATATTCCTCCCAGTGCACATGATATTGTTGATGCTTGTGAGAGCTCACCTTTTTTTGCCTTAGATATTGTTGCGGGTCATTGGAGAAATGTGGAGGAAATCATGCCCTGCTATTCCTAGAGTCATCACAAACGTTAAATATTTTAAAAAGTATGCAGAATTCGCCAATTTACTTGACTTTCAGATCCAGGTTGACGGAAAGCACAGACAGGATTTCTGTATTTAATAATAATTACTATTTATAACAAAAATATAGACTCTAGCTACAAGTAAACAATTTTGAACTGTTGACATATAACATTATTTAAAACTCTAACCCCCTTATAAACTCCCCCGTT